AGGGAGGAAAGTGCCTATTTTAGAAAACCAGGAGACAGGCTGGGACAGGCTCGGATCGGGTCACTGGTGTGAGGGATGTGTATCTTAGCCTTCTCACTTACTCAGAAGTACTCATACCTCCCTAGTCAAAACTCAGGCAAATAAACTTCACAATACCCTAGTTTATGAAGTTACATAATGAATGTATGCAGTGAGCGAGAAAGGAACTTAGTCAGAGACCTTCAAATCTTTCTTTTTTAAAACATCACATGTTATATGCTCAATTTGAAGAGGAAGGTTACTTAAAAATATCATAAAAGAACAAAGGGAATTGAAAAGTTAAAAATCAGGAAAGAACAGCCTGGCCCAAATAAAGAGTGAAAGTAAAAAAAAAAGGCATTATGTAATCATGAAAAAAAAAGAAATCTTAACACTGACACCTACTTTACTGTATTTTCCCTTAGGGCCACAGGGTTTTATGTTCAAATGTCAATAGGGGAAATATTGTTCTGAACTGCTTATAACTAGGATGCTGAGGGAATTTATGTTATTTAAACATAAACAGTGTGATCTTTATTCATGCTGAAGATATACTCTGTCCTATTTTGGGTTTAAGTGGACCTTAAAATTAGCTTTGCTTCCATTAGAAAGCTAATTTGGGTAGCCAAAGCGATGTAAATGTCTGGAGTATAAATGAGGCCCAAATCTACAAATCTGAGAGAAAAAGTTAAAACCCAACAATTTCTGATATAACAACGCCAATGATTTTTTCTTTCTATTCAGTGCAATGCAATTTCAATTATTACACGAACAGTAGAAATTACCTTTGTTGGCATGGAAGTAAGGTAAAAGGACACATTTCATTGAGGCAAATGACCTTGAACTTAGCATATAAAAGTGAAATAAATCTTCATTGTACAAGATCAATTTTGAGAATTGTGGTAATTTTTTCTGATACATCTTAATAAGCTCTTAAGAGTTTTTTACTGAACTTTATACCCATTCTCCCATACTATTGAAACAGAAAAAGACATTAAAAAAATAGGTATGGAATTTAGAATAGCAAAAGAATGTCATACGATCATAGTATGCAATGAAACATTTATGTAAATAGTTAAAAAATATTTCAAATTCCACAAAATAAAAACAAGTTCTTTCCAAAAAGATATCAAAGACTGAACTGTGATCAGTCTATGAAAGAATACTCTTTGTGTGAACAAACTGTTAAATGATAAACTGGTTTTTGTGAATATACCCTCATCATCAATTACTGTGACAACTCATCACTATCATTTATTTCTACATGTTCTGTTAGACTCTGAAAAGCTTTGTTCCACTCTGGAAATATCAGACACTAAAGTCTAAATAACCTGCTCTGCATAGCAATTTTCAGAGGGCAGACACACTGGAGAAAGACATTTGCATAACACAGGTGAATAAAGCAGGTAGGGTTTTCTGATAAGATGCCTTTGTATTGATAAGATGGATTAGTAATTTACAGACAGTCTGTCTGCAGAGAAAACAAGAACTTATTTGTCATTCAACACAAGTGGATAGGGCAACAAAAATTATTTTTTCAATCAAAAATATTAGGCAAGATAGGCTATAGGTGATAAATACATTTAAGGCCCAATACAGAACACAAAGAAACCTGAATCTAAATAAAACTGCATGAAAAAAGCTGTAAAGGAAAACAAAATGCTGGTATTTTTTATTTGTGTAAATGGATACAACAATCACGCTGCAATGACGGTTCTGGAATGCATGGGACTTACCGTAATATACCCAAGAAGCTTGATGGAGAGCCGGTAAATAAATGATTTGAGTACTATTTTAAAAAGCACATTTCATAGATATAATAAAAAGCATAAGAACAGCTGTACTTGTTGAGACCAAATAACATCAGTGTAAGAGTCCAACAACCATACAACAATACTTCATCAGAAACTTCTTCTGTAAACCAATTTGAAACTTGGGGAATTCCAAAACTTTTTTTTTTTATATTTAATAACTCACAGTAGATTTCTGTTCCACAAACTTCTCCAGTTTTCCCTTAAGCACACAGAATTTGTGCACCTTTAACATCCTCCACCCTAACTTGCCTTAACATGGCAAGCTCCCGTTTTTAACCACGTAGGTAAGCATCTCTTTCTGTTTTTTCGTGCATGTCCCTATTAGCTTAGCGTGAAACTTACT